TATATTTTTATATATGCAGATATAAGATGACAGAACTCAGAAAGAGAAAGGATAATAATGTTGGTTTCGTTGATCCAAATGTCGTATTCAAACACCCTAATCCCCGCCTTAATGGAAAAGCTGAATTCGAGAAAAATCTTATGAGGTTCTTAGTGAACCAACAAAACAAGGACATACTCTTCCCCTACAACTTCAAGTGAGTGTTAAATAATTAATGTCGATCATATGGACATTTGTTCAATTATTTGCTTACTAGCTAAGCTATCTCCCATATATATATATGTTCACTCTAGTTAATGTCGATCATATTTGTGTATAAAAATATATGCAGCAAACACTGGATATTGATGGTCATCAATATGGCCAATAGTCGGTTGAGCATCTTAGACTCGTTAAGAAAAGAGCAAACAGAGTACCAAGACATGATAGATATTATCGAAGGGTAATTTGGTCTCTCTAGCAACTATATATACCCCGATCTCTTAACTGCAACAATTATTAAAGGCCAAATTAATTTTTTATTTTATTGGACGTAGTGTTTGGAAAAGTTTCATTGAGGAACACCACATGAAACATTGCAAAGCGCCACTGGCTGTAATCGCATAAGTACTAGCTATATTTATATAATATATATATATATATAATTCAATTAACACCATGCATGCTTTCAATTCATCAGATCTTTTTTCTCGTAAAAGTGGGTTCTGAGGCAAGAACAGGGGAACAACTACTGCGGATACTATGTTTGCGAGTTCATCATGGCGTACGCAAAAAGAACTCCTGAAGAGATCCTCAAAGTACGTTATATAAATATATTTATATATTCACAATTTCTTTTATTGCTCATATATATAAGTAATCACGTGACCAACACACATATATATATATATATATATATATATATATATATATATTAATACTTTTCTTTTAACTTTTATTGAAGACTCTATGGTTGAAGGGAAAAAATCATACGACGTGACCAACTGAAAGCAATTCAAGAGACCATAGCAGGATTTTTAATGACAGGTCTTAAACCCCCCGACGAGAGTTCTACAATGGCGTGAGCGAAACATGGAAGCCAAACCGGATGGAGTGAATTTGTTATCCCAAGGATATGATAGAATATACAATGCAAGATTTATTTGTAATATATATATATACATATTATATGTACATAAAATAACGTACAATATATGTATATGCATGTAATATATACGTTAGTTTCATACTTTAGTTTGTACAAAATGTTCGAACATTATAAGCGTGTAGAATACATATATTATTAGCAGCGTAGAATGCGTATTCGAAAACCTATTCGAAAACCAAAACGAATCATCAATTGAAAATAGAAACAAAAAATAAAGAAAAAAAGAAAACATTTAGTCCCGGTTGGTAATACCAACCGGGACTAAAGGGCCGGCCCACGTGGCTAGGCCGGGAGGCCTCTTTAGCCCTGGTTGGTATTACCAACCGGGACTAAAGGTCGGGCTCTTTAGTCCCGCATTCGTGCTCCCGATTGGAAAACCAGGACCGGAGGGGTTTCCCAACCGGGAGTACAACTCGTTTTTGTACTAGTGTGATATATGTGGGTCCTTAATTAAACTTGGCCAGCGGTATCATTCTAGTCCACGAACTTCTAAGATGACCATCGCCGGTCCCTAAACTTGGCCGACGGTGTTACCACGGTCCACGAACTTCCAAAACGATACATTTGGGTCCCTAAACTTGGTTTGGGCACTACTACACAATGTGGCTTTAGTCCCGATTGGGAAAGGCTTTTTGTCCCAGTTTCCCAACCGGGACCAGCATTCCGGGATTAAAGGTGGGGATCTTTAGTCCCGGTTTGCCACAACCGGGACTAAAGATCCTCCCAGCTTAAAAAAAATAATGCCTCCCACCGCTGCGCCCTGTGAGATTCAAACCCAAGACCTCATGCACTGCCTCGCGCGAAGCTTACCACCCCACCTACACAACACATCTGACAATGGATTGGATGCTTTCCTTTTGAACTAACCCATCGGGGGACCTTTAGTCCCGGTTGGTGTTACCAACCGGGACTAAAGGGTCTACCTTTAGTCTGGGTTGGTATTACCAACCGGGACTAAAGGTTGGAGGACTTTTTAGTCCCGGTTGGTGGCTCCAACCGGGAGTAAAGGAACATTTAGTCCCAGTTGGTATTACCAACCGGGACTAAAGGTCCTTTAGTCCCGGGGGCAAAAAAATGCCGAGGCTAATGCTAAATTGGGACATCGTTCTAAAGTCTGTTCTCTAGTAGTGGGGGTTTCATGGGTCCAAGCAAGGCCTAACCTAGTCTATACGACAATTTTGTGTTTGACTTGATATATCAAGAATGTAATCCATACTAGTAGAAAAGGTAAAATAAGATGTATAGTGTAGCAGTTTTCATATCGAATATAGATATATTTAGTACATAGAAGTTGTTAGAAGAAGAAATTCAATGTGTAAACCAGAATAGTAATAAGCTCTTTAAATCAAACAAAATAGCTAGTAATATGCTATGCTAAATTAGTACTCCCTGCATTCTAAATTATAATACATTTTAGCTTTTCTAGATGTATTAATTTTACTATATATCTAGACATAAATGTATATATAGATACATAGTAAAATCTACTTGTCTAAAAATGTCAAAACGCCTTATAACTTGGAATAGAGCGATTAAATCACTGAAGAGGGAGTTCCAGTAATATCATAAATAAGTATAGTAAGTTATTTTATGGCTAGGTACAAAACAGAAATTATGTGTGTGCGCGCGTCGAAATACATAGAATTCGACAAATACATGTTTGTCATTTGCCAGTTCTGTAGTATATTGAACTATGGATGGCCTTTCCAAAACACAGATCTATAAATAGGTCGCTGTGTCGGTGAACCAAGCAGACTAGCTCATTTCTCTAGCTAGCTAGGTCCACGTAGACGTCGTAGAAGTCAAAAAAAGATTTTTCTTTTGAGCAATAAGTCGACAAAGCTAGCTGTTACGTCGTCTTACAATGGCAGCTGACGGTGACAGCGAGAAATCAACGACGACATTCCGATGGCTTGACGCGGCGAGGTAAGTGCTGGCCTTGAATAGTACCACATTATCTAACCACGTGAGCTGTTAGTCCTATGTACTCTATATAATCAGCACATGAGGCCCAATGTAATATAACACAATCTCCATCAATTATTATATTCTCCTTTATGGTATCATTCGCCTAGGTTTAGATCCTAACCCTAGCCGCCGCCGCTTCAAGACTTTGCTGCGCCCGGGAGAAATCGATCTCCGCCGGGGGTAGCGCCACCTCTTTAGGCGCCGGATCCTATTGATCCCGCGCCCTCTTCGTCGTCGTCAAGCGGCAGATCGGGTCTTTCTCATGGCGCACCGCGCTCACCGTGGAGGATGCTGGGCGTCGTCCCATCTCGCGCCGCTGTGGTGGTGGCCCGGGCAGATCGACCCCAACACCGCGCCGCCATGGTGGCTGCCGGCCAATCTGCGTCATCCTTGTGCAACCTCGCGTGACCGCGACCCGTCATGCACCCCGGCCCGTCCGACTCCGGCAGCTCGTACGCGAGCAGGGGACGAGCATGTTGAGGTGCTGCTTGTTGCCGGGTACACCGATCCGTTGTTTTTGTATCTTTTGGTTTGCCTGATCACTGATCAGGATTGAGTCGCCCATCGCTAGTCAACCTCGCGCATACCTACTCCGGCATCGGCATCGACTACAATGACATCTACATCTTCGACTGTGCGGTCTGGCCGGGGCAGGCGATGCCGAGGGGACGCCTTCCCGCGTCGCTTCTCGGTCATTCAGTCCGCATGTCTACATCGTCGGTTCGTCATCACCACCACAGATCGGGACGCCTCCGCCGGCTTCTTCCGTCATCGCTCCACCTCGCGCGTACTCGGTCCGTACAACCGATTATGCGCGATCCACCTGGCTCCCATGACGTCCATCGCCAAGTACTATGTGCATCTTCTCCGAGCAACAGGGCTGCTGGCTTGCTGCCATGTCACCTCGTCGGGCTGCAGCACCACCACCCGTGTTTCCGCTTCGCCGTTGCATCTACATCACCGTCCCCTATGCATCGATGACTGTACTGCGCACTGCGCCATCCGTCTGCACAAGGTCTTCGTCCTGCTGATTGGGTCTTCGTCATTGAGCTGCCGCTACCCGCACCGTCGCTGAGCCATGCTCGCCGGTCGCACCCCTCACATCATCGCTGAGCCCTGCTCGCCGATGCGTCTGCTCTTGCACTCTCGCACTGCTTCTTCTTCATCCAACACAACCACGTCGACAACAGCACCGTGGTTGGGGCCCTCTACCTTGTATGCCCGGTATTGGCAACACCGACGCGTGCTTTCGTCCCCGATGCGTTGCTGGGACTGGCAAACCCAGCCCACTCCTCGGCGTACAGGTGGCTTGACTGCATCGACTTCGGCATCGACCCTCCCGTTCCTACCCCATCTGCCTCGACTGCGTCGTCGCCTTTCTTCTACGTCTACGACGGCCTTGACTGCGTTGACTTTGGCATCGCCCCCTTCCACGACGACTGCTTCGACGTGTCTCCGTCATCATCATGGCGCCCCTCGCTCGCCTGCAGCTCCATCGACATGGCAATCCGACCACAACTACGTCGACCTCGGCCATCTTCAGCACGGCTTCTTCGACCACGGCTATTGCGCCCTCACGCTCGGCTACCTCGACATCGGCACAAAGGGCTACCGCCTTGCATGAGGACTCATCGGCTTCTTCTCCAGCCACATCATATGCGCCGCATCGACTGTTATGACTGCAGGGGATGTTAGCTTCAGCTTCTTCTCCGGTCTCACCGTCTGCGGCGCTCCTGCTGTGACTACGGGGGGATGTTAGAGTAACTAGGAATAGTACCACATTGTCTAACCACGTGAGGTGTTAGTCCTATGTACTCTATATAATCAGCCCATGAGGCCCAATGCAATATAATACAATCTCCACTAATTATATTCTCCTTCAGTGATGACCGTTCTCATCGTTGCCGTTACAGTGCACGCCATCAAGGTGGTTCTCCGCCCTGAGGTGCTGTCTGTATCGGTCGTCGGGGGTTCACTTCCCTTCTTCAACCAGCCGCTGTCGCCGTCGCCGTCTCCGGCGAAGAATGCCGAGAGAGTCCTAGATGTGAAAGTCCGCTTCTACAACCCCAGCGGCCGCGTCCGCATGTACTACACCAACATCACCGTGTACCTGTTCGGCAACGACTCGCGGGCGACGTCGTCGAACCCCGCCGCCGAGGCGCCGACTCCTTCGTCTTCTTCGGACTCAATTCGAAGGCCGTGGAGCAGCTGGGTACGGTGGAAACCGACCTGCAGCTGCACCTGACGTCCGACGCTGTACACCCGCCCTACTTCGCGATGCTGTACACGGCATCGTCGGCGGCGTGACGATGCGGATAGAGGGCGATCTCATCACGGAGGTGGTGTCCGGGTTCAACAAGTCGGCTCCGCAGACCACGTACTATTGCACACCAGTCATCGTCGGCGGGGACCCGGACGACAAGGCGGACAGCAACAGGGCGGACGTGTCCTGCACCGAGCCCGCCGAGCTGCTGCAGAACGAGGTCGGTCAATGATTCGATCTGCAGGCTGCATGGGACTAGCTGTTTGGATCCAGCCCGGCAGAGCTGCAGGCCCATCTGCATGGGACGTCGTCGTCGATCTGCGTGCAGGCCGGACGTGGTTGCGTTAATTCAGACGTCGTTGCTTTCAGTCCTTGTTTCTTCGATCGGTGTTTTATATGTATATCTTTGGAGCTTGCTGGCTTGACGAGTTTGACCGTTTTGAAGAATTCATGTATTGAATCTTTTATTGTACAGTTCAATCTATTTCAAAATATTGCTGATCATATGACAAATTAAATATAATAACAAGTTTGTGCTGTGAGGTTAATTACTCGTGTGTGTGTGTATGTTATGAAAATTCAATTTATTTGGTATTTGGCACGAAATATATGATCAATTTACCACAACGGTATCATGAAATTATCACAGTTATTTATATGATGGTTTAGTGACGATACACGTGCACTAATTAGGAAATATGGGTTGTATCAACTACCGGAAACGTCAAATTTGCCGCCGAGAGTATTCTCTCGGGCACTCGGCAAACAAGCGCTTTGCCGAGTGCTGCGCTAAAAACACTCGGCAAAAAGAAAACACTCGAAGAAGAGGAGGTTTGCGAGTGTTAACAAAAAACATTCAGCAAAGATGGGGTTTTGCGAGTGTTTTTTTTGACACTCAACAAAAAGTAAAATCTTATTTCTGGGAAAGAAGAGAGAAAAAAAAAAAAAAAACTTGCCGAGTGTCCGGATCTGGACACTCGAAAAGAAAGAAAATCTTTTTTACGGGAAAGAAGGAGAAGAAGAAAAAAATGAAAAAAACTTTCTTTGAGTGCCTAGATCTAGCACACTCGGCAAAAGAAAAATATTGTTTCGGGAAAGAAGGAGAAGAAAAAATGAAAAAAACTTTGAAAGAGTGCGGATCCAGGACACTCAGCAAAGGAATTTTTTAACGCGCTGCACCCCCCTCCCTTCTCCCAGCGCCACGTCCGTGACGCCCCCTGCCCTTCTCCATGACGCACCGCGCCGCCTCCTCCTCGCGCACGCATCGTGCCGCCCCCTCCCCTTCTCCCCGCCAGATGCCCCTCCCCTCCCGACCGGATCCGGCGGCCTGGCCACCCCTCCTTCCCCCATGCACACCTTCTTCTCCCTCTTCTCCCCGCCCCCAGCGCCCCCTCCCCTTCCTGCTGTCCCCGCCCGCGCCCCTCCCCCTCCTCTCCCTCTCTTCCCCGGCGGCGGCCGCCCCCTCCTCTCCCTCTCTTCCCCGGATCCGGCGGCCGCACCCTCCTCTCCCTCTCTTCCCGACGGCGGTCGCCCCCTCCTCTCCCTCTCTTCCCCAGATTCGGTGGTGGGCGGCCGTGGCGTGGTGGTGGTGGCTTGTGGCGGCGGTGGCGTGGCGGTGGTGGCTCGTGGCGGCGGCCGAGGAGCTGTGGCGTGGTGGTGGCAGCTCGGGTGGGAGCTCGTGGCCGTGTCGCAGGGGAAGGGCACCGCCGAGGAGACCGACAGCGGCCGACAGAGACCGGCCGGTGGTGGATTTTTTTTTCGAAAAAATTGTTTGTGGTGGTTTTTTTTTTGAAAAAAATGTTTGCCGAGTGTATTTTGGAAACTCAGCAAAGTCTTTGCCGAGTGTCCGATAAAAAACACTCGACAAAGTCTGTTTGCCGACTAAATTTCACCGAGTGTCGTTTGCCGAGTGTTACACTCGGCAAACCTTTGCCGAGTGTTGTTTAGGCTTTGCCGAGTGCCCCTGGCACTCGGCAAAGCTCCTGGATCTGAATTCAAATTGAAACAATTTCTCTTTGATCATATTCGCTCAAACTCCGAGAGATAGTATTAGATACAGAATGCAAAATACAATATACCATCCTTATACATTGTGAAACTACATGTGCCATCTCAAAGGTAACTGAAGTTTACAATATCTAAATTTATTTCATTTTCTTGCACATTCTATTGGGCACTACTGTCCGCCTGTCCGGGAACCTGGTGCCTAGCTAGCACTAGCAGTACTCCTGTTTGCTGGTCTGTAAAGTAAGCAGCTACTATCTGGGAACTCTCATTGCCTGAAATCACCAAAAATATGAACAAACTTAAATAATATGACGCTTTATAACGTTCTTAAAAGGCTGAAAGCTGCTGTCTGGGAAGTCTTGGCTGCAGCACGGACACGTTTAATGAAAACGCCTGGGAATTTCAATTTGGAAAACACAGCTGAACATGTAAAAATATGCTAGCTCCAGATTGATCTGTTTCATTTACGTGAACAAAAAATTAGTGGAAGACAACACAAAATGGAGCCTGAGCATAATTGTAACAGGGACGAGATCGATCGACCATGCCAAAGGCTGCTATACACTAAAAACACAGATGCTGCCTAGTAATTTCCCCCAAAGCATCATCTCCTGAAATCATCTAAAATAGTAATATAGAATAGTATTATCATCTAACAAGCAAGAAAACCGGAAACTCTACAATCTTGAATAATTATAAACAATCATGCTAGAAAGAGCAAAAGTTATATATGTTTAAATTTACTATATGGCAGCTAAGGACGATTGAATATACTTATGATGCAGATTTAAGATAATCCCATGATTATCGTAAAAGAAAGATGATCAAATAAACAGACCTTGCCAATCACATAACCAAAAGAGACACAACAAGCATTGTTTTTGTGTAATGTGAATACACTACTAATCTATATTTAAAAAGTAGACTAAAATCCATATTGAAAAAGTAGACTAAAATCTATATGATCCCCATCGAAAAAAATATAGAACGGTAACTGGCAGATATATCACATATCTTTGCTCCTATTGAGGATGTCAAACTCCTTTGCACAAAGATCTGCAATAAAAGTGAAAAATAGAAAATATATTTTTTCGAAAGGGTGGCAAGAGCTTTGCCGGGCATTTTATTAGACGAGGAAAAGGGAAAAAGAGTTACAAAAAAAATTTACAAGAGCAGACCCCCTGGTTCAGCCAGTATCCAGAACAACACAACTACCACCAAAGATCCTCCGATCACAGGAAAGGCTAAACCAGGGCGACCTCCGGGTGCAACTACAGAAAAAACAACCACCAAGAGGAAAACGGAGCACCAAACAGAAGCCTAACACGGGAACCAGCAAGACAGACACCACCACAAGACTAGTGAAAACTTTCAGGACTAGTTGACACCAATTGATGTTGCCGAATTGTCTTGGTTGTAGGATTTTTTGTATAGCAATGCCACTTGTCTTGGTTGTAGGATTTTTTGTTGGAAAGTTCTTCTATTTCTTTCTTTCCAAATATTCCACCAGAAATAGATCATGATGCCGTCAAAGTTCCTCCTCTGTGCTTTCTCAAACTTCATCCGGCATTTGCGCCAAAATTTGTGAAGTGACCCCGAGGCACCTATTGTGTTCAGAAACGACATTCCAAACCATTGTTTTAATAATTCCCAAACTTCTTTTGTGAATGGGCAGTCCTTGCATAGATGTGTTGGGGTTTCGGGCTCAATGCCACATAATTTGCAAATCGGATCATGTTGCCAGTTGCGTTTGCTTAGGTTGTTGGCTGTCAGGATCTTCTTATGAAGCAGTGTCCAGGTGAAAAAACGACACTTTGGTTCAGCTTTCGCCTTCCAAATCGGCATGATTCTCATCTTACTGAAGGTGCCCTCAAACTGAATACGGTAGGCACTCTTTGTAGTATATTCTCCATCTGCAGTCCACCGCCAGCGTATTGAGTCCTCCCTAGAATTATCCAATCTGATTCCCCTGATGACTTCCCAAAGAGCGACAAATTCAGTTAACTCTTGTCGAGAGGTTATAGGTGAAACATGATCAACCCATTTGTTTGGTTCGATGGCTTTGTTGACCCTGATGTTTCTTCTTTTGGTCTTCTTAAAGAGAGTTGGAGCAATATTCTTCGGAGCTGTTCCTTCTAACCAAGAGGACTGCCAAAAACTAGTAGTTTTTCCATTCCCCACCGTTACCAGGGTTGAGGCGTTGAAAAGGTCCCGATCCTATTGATCACAAGGTACATCTAGGTTTGCCCAAGCTCTGTCCTTCTCTTTCCACTGGTACCACATCCATCTGAGTCTTAAAGCACAGGCAAAACGATCGAGATTAGGGACACCAAGCCCTCCTTTTTCTTTGGGTCGACAAGTTGTTGGCCAGTTTATTAAAGAGTGTCCACCATAAACTTTGTCCGGCATCTCTCCTCGCCATAAAAAACTCCTCCATAGGCGGTCAATCCTTTTGATGAGCCATTTCGGCGCCGGGAAGACAGTTAAGTGGTATATCAGCTGAGAAGACAGCACCGTTTTTACTAAAGTTTCCCTGCCTGCGGTGGACAGAAGTTTCCCTTTCCATCCTGGCAGCCGAGCTCCAATTTTGTCAATCATGGGTTGTACCTCAACCTTGCGCAGCTTGCAAGTGTGCAAAGGGAGAACAAGGCATTTCTCTGGAAATTTACAAACTTTGCCTGGAAAATTCTGGATAAGTTGATTTACCGCATGCAATTCCAATCTTATAGGGAAAATTTGCGTTTTTGATATGTTGACTTTAAGTCCTGAACATTCCCCGAAGAACATTAGCAGTCGGTGAAGACGGTCGAGCTCGGAAGCAACCGGTGCGGCTAAGACAGCTGTGTCATCCGCATAGAGAGAGCATCTGAGACTTGCTGCTTTAGGTAGGACTGGCTGCACACTACCCGGATCTGGACATCCTTGCGGTTCAAAACCCACTTCTTTGCCGGATTTTGAACCGGCAGTGGCATACC